GTTACTAATATTAGAGCACAGTAACCAATTCACCCTGATGTGGGAGTCCCCTCTGTGTGCTGTCATTACCATTAATGAATAAAGAAACTGCAGTGGCCGGCTGGTAGTGCAGAACTTAGGTAGGTGGGGAAGAAGACAGAGTCAGAGAGACACTATGGAGCTGTCGGAGTCAGATATGCCGGAACTTTGCTGGTAAGCTATGACCTGGTGGTGATATACAGATTAATAGAAATGGGTTAAATTAAGATGTAAGAGTTAACCAATAAGAACCTGGAGCTAATGGGCCAAGCAGTGATTTAATTAATACATACACAAAAACCCAAAAAACAAAAACCAAAAAAGACATTCAGTTAGTGTGTTGTGTGTCGTCTCCCGGGGCTTACACATGCTAGGCCAACATTTTCCCTCTGAGGTCCCACTTACGGAGCCCAGTTTGACTTCATCTTTACATCCCTCCCATCTCCTGAGAGTTGATATTACAGGTGTGAGCCATCAAGGCCAAGTAATATCTTTAATTCTTTCATAGCATTTAACCATGTGTTAATAGGATTGGATTGTACAGGAAGAGACCATTTTCACAGGCCTGTAATCACAGCGCTTGGGATGCGCACCCCTGGTTTATAGCCCTGGTTCCGTGGCCTCACAGCCTAGTCCCTCTAGCATAAGACTACTGTCTCTAAACTCCAACTCCCAACATGCCCTTCTGCGGGGGCTTTCGGGAAATGTAGTTTTACGATGCTCCAGGGCCCCTAGAGCATCCAAGCCACTAGGCTCCGCCCCTTCGGCGCACTCTTTCCGCTGCTGTAGGTGGCCGAATTACCGCCCGACAGTTCACAGGGTGGCGACCCTATGCTGCTCAATGTTTGTGAAGATGCCTAGACCCGCGGGAAACCCCAAAGAGCGCGACTAAGGGACTGCAGGGTCCTTTCTGGTCCCCGGAGCTCGGGGCGTGCTCGATGGAAAGCGCACGCGCAACGACGGGCCTCGCGGTCTCGGTAAACACCAAAAGGCGCCTGCGCGGTGGGATCGCCTCTTGCTAGACATTCCGGGCATCTGAGCAAAGATAACAGCCATGAGTAGTGAAGGGACTGTCTTTGTCTTTTTATGGTTGCCTTATTAGTCTGCAAAGCACAGTCCCCTCGTTTCCTTGATCCTAATACAGAACTTTTGTGAAGATGGAAAGAACCAGAGGATTCCAGAGCCTCCATCTTTGACTTGCTGTGTGACTTGGGGAAATTGCTTCTTTGCTAAGCTTTCTGACATTTATAGATGGAATCAGCTTGTTGGAAGGTCAAAGGAGATCCAAAGATGGAAATGAAACTGCCAAGCAGTCTGTAAAAGTTTACTACAGTCTGCAGGTTGAGAGACCCATTTCCCCTTTCTGCAAATTGGAACCTGAGGACACCAAACAGGCCTGGGGTGGTCATTGTGAGCTAGGGCTAGAGCCCGGCCATTCTGCCTTTGGGCCCAGAGTCCTTCCTCAGACCCCAAGGCCTAGTGCCTTGGTTGGATGTTGGAACAAGCCCACTTGTTACAGAGAACGCAGCTAAGTCTGATGAGGAAGGCCCGGCTCCATTGAGTTGACCAATAGTCTCAGGAGGCAGAGGAGGCCCTGCGCACTCTGGAGGAAGAGAACCTTGTAGCTGCTTCTGTGGGGCCGCCTAAGGGAAAAAGACTCTTGACTGGAAAGGAATAGAAGGCGCTAGGCTCCTGAGCCTGTGATACACTGCTGCTCCGATCACTAGTTGGGGGTGGGGGTGGCAGATGGAGAGCAGAACCGGAAGTGATAGTGGAGTTGGCTTGCGTGATGCACACTAAACTGAAGCTTTAAGAAAAGCGGTGGCGCTGGCCTTTAATCCCGTCACTCAGTCAGTAGGGCAGGTGAGTCTCTGTGAATTCTAGGCCAGCCTGATCTACAGAGCAAGTTTCAGGACAGCCAAGGCTACACAGAGAAACCCTGCCTTGAAAAACAAAACAACAGCAGCAAAAGGAGCCTTTGGAACATGCAGTTGAATAAGGTGATAACTCTTATTCCTAAAAATATGGGGGGCTCCTCCCGCCCGGCGGGATCACAGAGCAGCAGCAAACTCTGGAGGGTCCCCAGCGAGCAAGTGGCTACAGTTTCCCACCAGCGGGAGGGCACGCGCCGCGCGGCCGGTGGCGGAGGGTAACAGACACGTAAACACAAAAAATCGGCATAAGTGTTTATTAAGGAAGAAAGAGAGAGAGAAAGGGAGAGAGAGAGAGAGAGAGAGAGAGAGAGAGAGAGAGAGAGAGAGAGAGAGAGAGAGATGGGGGGGGGGGAAGAAGAGGAGGAGAGAGGCAAAGCCCCGCGTGTACACCGGGAGAGAGAACAGGAAAACAGAGCGAGGACAAGCGAGGTCACAGGTTAAAAAGGAGTGGGCATGGCTAGGGCAGGGACCGAAAGAATAACAATAACCATGGACACACATGCCACACCCAGGACACGTGAACTTTGCCTTACTCTGTGGCTGTAGCAGTAGGCTTTCTGCTTATCTTTGTGGAATGTCCTCAGAGATGCTGGGGTTAGATGGATGAGGGAAAAGGCAGGAAGACACTGAGGTCTGGTTGCTTATGAGGCCTCCTTGGGCAATCCAGGAAAGGTGGGTACATGTAGAAATAGAAATCCAAGATGTGTTACACCTCCAAATACCTAATCAGGGTCTCTTCAAAGCCCTGGCTGTCCTGGGTACCTACCTGGCCTGGATTTCCTTTTCGAGACAGCCTATTGTTCTGTAGCCCAGACTGGCTTCCGACTTGAAGTAATCCTCCCTCAGCCTCCAGAGTTCTGTATAGCCGTATGCTACCTTAGAAAAGAACTCACTTAAGGACACACCAGAGTTGGGACAGAATTGGACCAGGGTGGGGATCTTTCCATTACATGGCAGTAATCAAGCATCTTCATCAAACATTTATGGAGTGTCTAATGTAAACTCTGAGAGGAGCTTTCTTAGAACCAATGGAAGCCAGAGTTGCATGCAGTCCTGAGTTTTCACTAGCCCTCACAATGTCAACACTGTGACCTTGGATAAGTCACTGCCTCTCTTATGGCTTCAGTTTTCTCTAAAGTGGAGGTGGCAAGCATTACCCTGGGCTATCTGGGGGTTTAACTATAAATCGAGTGAGTTATAGCCTGAATAGTACAAAGACTAGCACCAGGCTATTATTACCGCGTGGTAATAATTGCTGGCTATCACTGCTTCCAGGAAAGACAGGTTGAAACAGGCTACAGCCAAACAGCAGCCTCACGTTTGTCCATTGCCTCTAAACTTCCAACATGCCTCTGGGGTGCCGGCATATCTGAAAGTGAAGTGGGGACCCAGGCTGTCATGTTCCCCTCCGGCAGGGATGTTGGCAGTGCGTGTGCGCTCTCCCCACGTCCCGAGGCCCACAGTGAAGGGGTTCTTGTCCCGGGTTGCCCATTATAGCTTTGACCATACTGGAACCAGACCGTGGGTTCATTCCCATGCCTTCTCCCATGAAGGACAGAAGTCTAGACTCTTGGCTTGTGCTTTCTTTGAATGGAGCAGGCATTGGGGCCAGAGAAGATCCTAAATGACAGACAGGACCCACCCGCCAGACATTAGAAACCACATCCCCAGTCTGGGTGGTGGTGGAATACACCTTTAATCCCAGCACTTGGGAGGTAGAGGCAGGCAGGCCTCTGAGTTGGAGGTCAATGGTCTTCAAAGTGAGTTCCAGGACAGTTAGGGCTAAGACACAGAGAAACACTGCCTTGAAAACAAAACAAAACAAAACAAAAACAAAAACAAGAAAAAAGAAAGAAAAAGAAAAAACTACATCACTGGCCCACCCTGCTTGAAGGTAGGTGGGGTGCCTGGCACAGTGGTAATTTCAACTGTGGCCCAAGCCTTTAGAAGTAATGGTTCAAACTCCTTATTTAGAGGTGGGGAAGAAAAGTGCAGTAAAGCCAGAGGGAGGGAGGGAGTCCGGTGAAGAAAGAGACCTCCTGCCACCAGGGATGGGCTGTGTCCTGAAGCCAGCTGGGGAGGGGCAGGACCTGGCTCCACCCCTTCTCCCCTGGGAGCAGTAGCTTTGGCCAGGGAAGAGGAAGCTGGGAAGGCAGAAGTGGGGCTGGGGGGTAGGATCTGGTCAGGGAAGCATCCAGAGCATCTTGGGCAAGTGGGAGCGGGGAGCCCTTCTGGGGTTCCTGCAGGAGTTGGTGCCTGTGGCAGGGGAGGACAAGAATACCGTGGGAGCACACTCCTGGAGGAGGGATCCAAGCAGATTCAGAAATGAGTCACAGAACCAAGCCCTAAATTTAGAAGGTGCTGAAGGAGGCAGCCTCCCCCAGGGAGGACGTGATGATGCCCGCTGACCCAGGACTCCATAGACTTGGGGCAGGAAGAGTCACCCAGGCAGCAATGTTCCATAGCAGCTGGGCCTGCTGTTCTAGGACTAGATTTTTGATCCCAGAATGAAGCTTGACCTAGAACCTCATTCTCACAAAAGAGCTCCAGGAGAGGCCCGCCCACACCAGCCCTTCACTCAGCCTGAGGGACAGCCCTCTGCCCAGGGCTTCTCTGCCCTGTGAATAGGAAGTACCAGACTCCCTGTCCCCTCCATAAGGAGGTAATGCCACTGACGGCAGCTTTCCAAAGGTCACACAAGCAGGCCACTGGCAGCTCTTGGAAATGAGGGGAAGGGAGGGGACAATATGCTGTCATCTATGTGCACTTGTGGAGAACTCACCGTGGTTAGGGCACTGAGCTCAGACTCCTCAGCCACTCCTTCCTCTGTAGTAACGTAAATCTCATTGGTCTACAGTCTTAGAAGCAAACAGTCTAGACATACTGAGGTCAGGTAAACTGTTTTAGGTCCTAGCACTGAGACAGCCTGGCTCCCTTGCCCAAGCCACTTCCTGGACTGCTCAGCTGGGCACTTCATCCATCTGCAGGGCTCCTTGCCCTCATTCCCAACCTGTCTTCTGGTTCCTGTGCCCTGAATTCTGGGGACTACCCTGCCAGGCTTTAAGCTTCTGCTGCTCAGGGCATCCCCAGCTTCTCACGAGGCTATCTCCTCGATGAAGGACTTGACAGTGGACAGCCCTGAAAGTCCTTCTGCTCTCTGCCTCAGTCTTTGGGAAATCCCTGGAGAGAAGAGAACAGTAGATAAGAAGTAGATAAGAGGTACAGCTAGGGGGTGCTCCCTCCACCCTCCCACCTCAGAAAGGATCCCACCACACCTCTGTGCTGGAGCCCTGCCAACAAGATCCTGGTGCCTGCAGGAACTCAGTTTGATTGACAGCTGGGTCGATGGAGTTAGTCTTCTAGAAGCCCTTGAATTTCCTCTGAGAGGCACCAGTCCATCTGCTGACTCCATGCCCTCCCTTGGGCTCTGTGCTCAGGCTAGGTGGTGAGGGGTGTCTGGGAGTAGACTGTTGAGTCCTTCTTTTGCCAGGTGGGCAGTAACTCTTGGGGCTCTGGCAGTAGTCGCCCCTTTCTCACAGCCCACACAACTCCTTCCTTTTTTTCTTCTTTAATCTCAAAACTGGATGGACCCTGAGGGCCCTGAGCAGGACAGTCATCACCATGGATGCCTCTGGGGAATGGGCAGGGGGAAATTATGAGTGTGATCCTATCCTGACTTTCTATACGCAGGGGACCTCAAGTTGAGGCACCTCTTGTAGATTCTGGTTCTTGTTGGACTTGACTTCCTTCTGTCAGGGGCTGAAGGTTCCGGCCTAACCATCAGCTGTGGCTGTTGTGGAGTTGAGACAAGGTGAGTCTAAAGACCTAACCTGGCCTGGTGCCTTCACGTGTGCAGGGTGTGCACAGCCATGTACGCCTTTGTTACTTGGATGCAGTGTGTATTTTGAACTGACATAGGTGCCCAAAGTCTGTGCAAGTCTGGGGCAGTGCAAGGTTGGGCAATGTGGATGCAGCAGTTCCTTAGATGTAGTTTCAGATTTAGCAAATATTTGCGAGCATTTGTTGTAAAAATTAATTTGGTGTGTGTGGTTTTTTTTATTTTTTGAGATAGGGTCTTACTACACAACTCTGGTTGGCCTAGAACTTACTATGGAGACGGGCTGGCTTCAAATTCACACAGAGATCTTCCTGCCTTTGCCTCTGCGGTGCTGAGATTAAAGACATGTGCTATCACACCCAGTTTGGTTATGTGTCTGAAATCCTGCGTTTTTCATGTGGCAGCTTCACTCTGACGCTGTATGAGATGATGTGTGTTACCTGGAGAGTTCAGTGACGCACATATGACACATATATGACCACGCCAGTGTCATCATGAATGAGGATGTGGGTGACCTTGAGTGACTGGCTTGGTGGCTGTGGCTGTTTGCTCAAGTGAGGCCCAGCAGAGCCAGGAGACTCACCCTGAGTAAACACTTAGATCCGGACCTTGTGGGGCTTGGATAAAGCCCCTGTTGTCACTAACAGGATGTGGCCCTCTCAAGGCCAAGCCCACTTGGGAGGCCTGAAAGTGTTCTAACTTGAGGGTCCAGGTGTGGAACTACCTCTCCGTTCCAGTTCCAAATGACATCACAGAAGCCACTGTCTAACGTAGAACCTGGTCCCTCGACAACTCATCAGCCTTTACTCCACCCTTAGTGACAGACAGGGTTGGTTACTGCAGGAGGAAGGTGGGGAAAAGGGGCCCGCAGGGGATAATTTATCACCTGTCTGGCTAGATGGTGAGTAGGGTGGGCACCTACTCAAGTCAGAACTGTGTGTGATTCATCTCTGTAACCCTATCACTCCTGAGGCTGAGGCAGGACTGTCTCAAGTTATAAACCAGCCTGGTGGTCATGGGCTACAGAGTTAGACCCTGCCCCACAAAAACAAAACAGAGTGGCAGGCACTGTGTGTGTCTGGTTATTAAAGTAATAACTTGTCAAGTTGTCAAGGTCCCCACAAGTAGAAATCAGGGTGGTGGCAGTTTCAGAGTAGGAGTCAGGAGAACTGGGTCTTTTTTTCTTTGTTTTGTGTAGCCCAGGCTAGCTTCAAACTCCCTAGGTAAGTAAAGATGACAGTTAATTCCTCTTGAACCTCCTGCCTCTGCCTCAAAAGTGCTAGGATTACAGACATACTCCACCATACCCAGCTTCTGGGTTTTTATTTCCCATTGCCCCTGCTCTCTGGGCTTTGATGTCTCTAGTTGTCAGGGTGGGTTCAGATGATATTGGTCTGAGTATCTTTAGAACTGGGGAGCAGGGGTGAGGGCACAGGGAGCAGGGGTGAGGGCACAGGGAGCAGGGAAAGGGGTAGTTCCCGGCAGGTTCTGCTTGACCGCTGCACTAACAGCTGCCTGGCATAAATCTTGGTAGACCTCTGCTTTTCCCTATTCCAGGGACTACAGTGCTTGGGTGCTGGGGGACCCTTAAGCACTTGTCCTCTTTATGAGGGTGCATGTGAGGCCCAGGCTTGCTCAGTGCCTGCCCTGGGCCTTGAGTCCTCACATTCCCTGAGCCTCTGTTTGCTGATCACTCTCTCATATAAACTCTTATCTCTCTACCCCCATGGCACCTGCTCAGTGCCAAGCTGCTGGAGCCGGAGCCATAAAAGAACCAGGCCAGTCTCTGACCTGGAACTTACAGTGGCAACTTACCCACCTTCTACAGAGGGCCATCGCTCTGGGCACTCACTGGGCACAACAGGCATCTTGCTTTGCCAACCTTTGCACTGTTTAATCTTGCACCAGAATCTAACCACATCATGATGTTTCTTTATTTTTAATCGGCACCACAGTTTTGGATAATGTGTTCTTCCCTGTTCTACCCAGCCTCCTGCTGTATTTTTGGTTACTCACCTAGTGAAAGACACGCACGAGTCTTCCCTGTAGTAGTTCTCAGAGATTAATGTTCCAGACGAGGAGACAGGTTGAGAAGGAGAAAGAGGAAGAGAGATCTGTTTCTAGTCACACAGCTGGGATATGGTCCTGTTAAACCCAGGAAGCAGGGAAGGCATGTCCAGGCTCTTCTGCCAGGCTTGTTCCGTATCTCCTTGGCTCTCTCTTGTCTCTTCTGTGTAGGGGTGTGATGCAACAGGATTTGTGGCTACTTTGCCATGTTCAAGAGGCTGTCAAGAGCCTCCGAGCCAGGGACACCTAAATTCCTGCGGTGGGGACATGGATGGGCAAATTAACAAGCAGAATGAAGGGCATCCTTCTGCCTACCCACCAGCAGGTCACCTGCTCTTAGTGACCCTCAAGACCCAAAAGATTTGTTCTTAATCTAGATTATGTGAGTGACAGCTTGGCTCCTGTCATCTGTCCCTTCCTAGCAGGTTGTCTTCGCCTCAGGCTGGCACCTTAGGGCAGGGTGCCAGTGTGTCCTCTGTCAGGATGTCCTGACAGCCACCCCTGCTCTCCTCACCACCCTGGACTGGAAGGTGGGCACGAGAGCTTTAGTACCTTGTTGCTGCTATCTGTCCAGACGCATGTTACCAGGGTCAAAAAAGCCACCAGGCAGCAGTCAGTTCCTGAGGATCCAGTTCACAAAGCAGCTTTGGCTTTACTGGAGTCCCCTTTGTGCCTCCCATCAGCCTGGGAGTGTTGATAACACATAGACTCTTGGGGAAGGTAGACTTGGGGAGGGGAGGTTCAGACACTCAGCACCTGAGGCCTCCCAAGCCCAAAGTCAGGCCCCAAAGCCACCTATTCATTCCCAGACACTTCTGAAGTGAGGTGTGTGTGTGTGTGTGTGTGTGTGTGTGTGTGTGTGTGTGTGATTAGCTGACCTCCCACGCTGCAGGTGGGAGGCCCTAAGGTCATTGCACAGGTAGGTCTGAGGGACCTGCAGGCTTTGTTTTGTCTTTAAAGAAGACTCACTTGGTAGAATGCCTCTCAGGGTCACTTGCCATGGGCCACCTGCTTGCCTCTTATTTTTATTTGTGGGTACTAACCACAAAGTTAGAGCCTCAGCCCTGATTTATTAACTTATTGTCATTTGAGGCAAGGTTTTACTTTGTTGCCTGAACTGATTTGTGTAGGCCAGGAAAGTCTTGAACTCTGTAACTCCCTGCCTCAGTCTTCTGAGCAGCTGGGATTCCAGGCCGTGCCACCACATCCAGCTTCCTGCTCACTTATAAATGGCACGCTTTACAAACATCTCAGAGCCCTGAGCACTTCAGGAAAAAAAAAAAAAACCACATCTATTTTTGAACCCCCAGAGCTGATTCCTCAGCTTTTCCTTAACACTGTAAGAAAAGAACTCAGCGTGGTGAAGCCAGGGAGGGAATGGGAAGGCACAGCAAGGAGCTCCCCTACCCCCCCCCCGGGGGGGGGGCAGAAGTTCAGTCGCGGCTCTAGTGGGACAGCCATTAGTTCACTCTGGCTCTAGGTCAACGGTGCTCACTTATTACTCCTATTATCCAGAGGAGCAAGCACATCCAAGACTTTCCTTGTCTTTTGTGGCACAGGGCCAGTGACAGAGACAGACTGTCACACTCATACTGGCCTGGCCTCAGAAAAATTGAGCCCCCAGCCTCAGTTCACATCGAGCAGATGGGGCAGAGCCGGCGCAAGGACCCAGAGGGCCCGGGCTCCCAGGATGGAGGAGTGGGTGGATAGAGGAGTTAGCGCTAGATCTCACACCAGGCTGTGGAGCGGGGCTCTGGGCCGCTCTGTTCAGCAGGCAGAGGGGTAGGAGAGCTCCAGGGTTCTGGGTCCGGAGCTTTGGAGAGCTCAAGAGGGGTGGGCGCTGAAAGCTGCTCACTAGGGGTTATAGGAGGTCCTGGTTCGGGACTTTGTCAGGCCAGAGTGAGACTTGAGTGGAAATTTTGTCAACTTTTGGCCAGTCTGTAAACCTTGAGCCCTTTAAGTTGGATCAACTTCCGGCTGGGTTGCACACCCTACTGGGAGTTAAGTTGGGTGTGTGGAGGCTTTATAAACACTCTTGGTTGTTGGGGGTTGCAAGTCGTGGCCATCTCTAAGTTACTGAAGGGCTGCCATCCCTATCCCTACTAGTTAGTCTCTCAGTTGTCATGGATGTGTGTGTCCACTTTGATCTCTGAAGTGTGTGTGAACAGGTTGAGGTAGAAGCGAGTCCCCTCAAGGGTGGGAGCGGGAGGGAGGGAAGCGGCCCACAGTTAACTTCCAGAAAACGTCTCTGCACCTTGTCCTTACTCTGAGAGCCCATGGTCTTTTGCTTCTTCGCTACAACGGTTACTCCTCACGGGTCCTCAGCCCTCAGTTGGTCTACAGCACCTCCCGGACCTTGCCCCTTCCCCGGGACCCACGGGGGCGGGCGCTAGGACCCAGCAGGGAGGGGCGGGGCGGGGCTCGGAGCTCCCGCAGCTCTTACCTCCGCAGCCTGGAAAATACCGAGCGCGGAGAGCGGAGCCCCTGAGCCCAGAGCTTAGCGGGGTGGGGGGGAGGAGGGCAGAGGGGGCGCGCGAGGCTGGGGGTGCGGGCGGGGCGGGGCCGGCGGCGGGACCCACTGCTCCTCCCCCTAGGGCCCCCGCGCGGCCCCCGGTCGCCCGGGCAGCGGCGGCGGCGGCGGCGGCGGAGCTCGCACCCCGACCCCGGCGGGCCCCGTCAGAGAAGCCCGCACAGGTGAGACTCGGCCCCCACGCCCTGCTCCCACCACGGCCCCGCGCGGCTCGCTGCCGAGTTAGTTGAGCGAGTCCGGCCAGCACCGCGCGGGGACTCCGTGCCAGACCCGCACCTGCGATCCCCAGGGTCCTGCCCCGCTCCCGCACCCGCTACGCAGCAACCCCGCTGCTGCTCCAGCGAAGTGTGAGGTGCTCCTTGTGGGAGGGTGTCCCTAGTGACTGTCCTGTGCCGGTCTACAGCCCCTTCGCCCGGCCAGCACCTGCCCTTCTTGAGCTGTCCGCCGGCCCGGGACCCCGAGTAGCCCCACCCGCGCCCCCAGCGCACTGACTCTGGTCCCCAAACCGGTCTTGCAGGTCCCAGGAAGGTGGCGTCAGCATCTGCAGCCGTGTCGACGTTGTCGGAGCCTCCGCGGAGGACCCAGGAGAGTCGGACGAGGACCAGGGCCCCGGGCCTTCCCACCCTCCCTATGGAGAAGCCAGCTGCCTCAACGGAACCCCAAGGGCCTCGGCCCGCCTTGGGCCGCGAAAGTGTCCAGGTGCCCGATGACCAGGACTTCCGCAGCTTCCGGTCAGAGTGTGAGGCCGAAGTGGGCTGGAACCTGACCTACAGCAAGGCCGGCGTGTCTGTGTGGGTGCAAGCTGTGGAGATGGATCGGACTCTGCATAAGATCAAGGTAGGATTGCTCGATGGTACCTGCAGCCTCCACTGCTCCCTAACTCTCTCGCAGTAGGCTTCTTGTCCTGAGTCAAACCGGGGGCCCACAGAGGGATGCATCTGGACCCAGAGCCTCCTACTGTAAACCAGGAGGAGGCATAGCAAACTGAGGCCCAGAGAGCGCATGTGGGCATGACTTCACTGCACTCTAACCCAGGCATGCCTGCATGTTTGGGAGATGGGTGGTGGCCAGGGGAATAGTTTCTCTCAGGGAGATCTCTTCCAGAATAACTTCCACTTGGACCCCTAGGCAGGAGAATGCCCCCTTTGCTCCTTCACTCCTGGCTCTCTAGTCTGCGATGGATCTTCTCTACTTTCTGCACTCTTGGGTGCCAAGGATAAGATTCCTTCCTGCTTGGTCCCTTGAGTCCTCCCTGTCGTCTTTGAGTCTCCAGCAGGCCTTTAGGACTGTGGTTGGCAGCTCCTGAAGACTCCCTTGCTCTGAGCCACACTGGAGGGTGAGCTGGGGGAGGCAGGGACTTGGGGTCGAGGGAAAGCAGTTGTGTACTCACCAGCCCCTCAGAGCCATCTCCCCTCCTCCCAGTCCCATGATTCTCTTCTCTGTCATGACAGGGCAGGCTTGGGGTTTGATGAGGCAGAGATCCTGGTCTAGGGGCCTCAGTAGCTGTCCCTCACACATGTGGTTTTGCTGTGAGTGCCGCATTTCAGGGTGTGAACTTCCCTTTAGAGGGTTCCTGAAAAGGCTCTGCCTTCACACCCTTCTGCTGCTCTGGGTCAGGTGAGGATGCATTCCTGTTCTTAGAGGCCAGGGCATTGGATTGAACAGGGTCCCTCCTGACCTCACACCAGAACCTGAGGTGCTGGCCTTCCCTTCTGGTACTATGCTTTTCTGCCTTAATCATTTACAGCTTTATCCACCTGTCCCCACACGATTGGCTTGCTCTTCCTGCTGTCCCTTTGCCCTCTGTGACTGTCTCTGTACGCCTTGGACAACTGACTGTCTCTGGGTTTCTGTGTATACCTCCTTCCTCTGAGTCCTGTCCAAGCTTAAAGGCCCTGGGCTGGAGCTCCTCCAAGGCCTAGCCTAGGTCTGAGCCTGAGGGACGAGGAAGGAAAGGGCAGCTGGCAGTGCCAGCGTGTTGCTGCCCGCATGCAGGCTTCTCTCCCACAGCATCCGCAGGGACGCGATGTTGGGGAAAGACAGGAACAAAGTGAAAGGTGGTGGCCTGTGGCTGAGAGGGTGGCAACCAGGAGGATGCAGGGGCTGGGAGTGTGGCTTCCCTACAGGGCTGGCTCTCTAGGGCGAGTGTGTGTGTGTGTGTGTGTGTGTGTGTGTGTGTGTGTATGGGGGGGTGGGTACTCCTACCCTTTGTCAACAGGGCGGAGCTGCCTCCCCCATCTTACTTGGTTAATGGATAAGCGCAGCTTTGCCCAGGACAGGAGTTGGCAGGCGTAGGGACCAGGCTGCCTTAGACAGACTCTTTGTGGCTAGGTCGGACTTGAGAGTATTTGAAGAGCTGTGGTGTCATGGGCTTCTGGGCAGAACATACTTTTTTCCCACACACACATTCCAGTACTTCACCTGCTGAACAGAGACTTTTGTACAACCTACCTGGTAATCCTGTCCTCCTTCAGTGGGGTGCAGGTGAGGATCTGAGGACCAGAGAACCCCAGGGGCCAGCACATGGTCACATGGCTATGTCCCAAGAGAGAGCATGAAGCCTTGATGGTTAGCCTCTGAGTCTAATCTTGTCTCTTAACTCTTCTCTCATACTGCCTTCACCTCAGTGTTTCCCACAGTAGAGGAGGTGAGCAGAACCTAGGCCCAGGGGAGCCGTGACACCTCAGATATGGGTGTTAACAGTGGCCAGCCTCCATCCCTAGTCCCCTCTGCGTGGCAGTTGGAGCTGAGTGATGAGCAGAGGTCTCTGAGCTTCCTGTTCCTAGATTCCAGGACTTGCAGTTGCCACACAGTTCTTGATAAGTGCCCTGCTCCTGGACAAACATTTTCCCTTGGTTATCTGCTTTAGTCTCACGCCAGTCCTAGGTAGTCATCAGTCTGTCTCTTACAAGCAAGGGCATCACACAACTGAGGCAGGAGAGCAGCCCAGGCCAGCCTGCTCCAGAGTTGCTGGCCCTGTCAGATGAGCTTGCATCCTTAGGCAACAGTGGCCTTTAACCCCATCAATAACTCTTTAAAGAACTGAAGGACTTTATGTTCTCATCATCCCATTCTTGATTGATGGATGGCAAAGCTAAGGCCCAGAGGGGTGGGTGACTCTTGCCAAGGTCAGGTAGAAGCCAGAGCCCCAGGGATCACTGGGTCATTTCAGGAAGCTGGGACTCAACCTCGGTTTTTGGCTGAGATTCTGCCCACTGTCCTCTGCTGTCTCCTGCACCAGGGCATGCCCTGTGCCCTGTGATTGTGTGTGTGTGTGTGTGTGTAGGGGTGGCACCTGCCTATTTACTTGATTGATTTTATCCTGCTCTTCTCCCTGTCTCTGTGTCCAGAGGTCCCTGGAAGCCACCATAGCCCTGGGTCCAGCAATCAGAGCCAGGACAGAGGACAGGGGTTGCTGGAGGCCGCCCCTACTCTCTCCCTCCCTCCTGGCCTGGTTTCAGGCCTGGGCTCTGGGTAGTGGACAGGAGGCAGACAATGCTGCCTGCAGGTCTAGGTCCAGTACCAGAAGCAGATGTTGAACATGGACCCCAGAGAGCAGAAGACTGATTAGAACCCGAACACAGGTTTCCCAAAGCTGTGAGGAGCAGAAAACATTTCTCAGTCATTCAGGGAACTATCTGAATAAACTAACTTCTGGTATCCTTTTGCTGTATTTGAGTGAGGCATGTCCCTTCCACTCTGGGCTGTCCGCTCATCTGCTATTGCACCTTCCTGACATAGGGATCTCAGGAGAGATGCAGGGCAGCTCTGGCCCTTGTGCTCTGGATGACCTGTGCCCGGGTCTTCTGATGCCTGCTGCATTCCTGTCCATGCCAGGCAGAGGACGACTCCTGGGTCCTTCATGGAGTGTGGGATGACGGTTCTGAGTGGGCCCGGGGCACAGGTGTGTGAGCACGCACAGAGGCAGGGGTGAGCCTAAGAGGAACAGAGCAGACTGATGTCAGAAGCTCTGGGGACTCGGAGTTGGAGCAGGGGGGAGAGAGCTCTGAAGAGTGTATGACTTCCAGGTCAGGAGTCCTCTCTCTCCTTTGGAGGAAGTCTAGGTGTCCCCTTCTGGCCCTGACTGCACCTGGAGGACAGTCTCTCAGCCAGTGTCCAGAGGTCCCCATCTCATGAGCCTTTTCCTGTCTCCCGTGACATGTGGGCTCACTCGGGGTCTCTGAGGACCTTTCTCACCCTCAATAGTCTGAGGCTCATTGGGCAGTGGTGCAGGCCTTTAATCCCTGCTCTCAGGAGGCGGAGGCAGGTGGATCTCCATGAGTTCGAGGCCAGCCTGATGTACAGAGTGAGTTCTGGAACAGCCATGGTGGTTACACAGAGAGACCCTTTCTCAAGAAACTAAACTAGAAACAAAAAACAAGCAATAACAACAACAACCACAACAACAGAGTCTGAGACTCGAAGCTGTGCTGGGAAAGACAAGGGGTTGGGTGCCTAAGTCCTGGGCTACTGCCTATTTTTTTTTGTCTTTTTAGAAAATGATTTATTATTTTTATTTTATGTGCATTGATATTGTGTGAGGGTGTCGGATCCCCCTGGAGGTAGAGTTACAGGCAATTGGAAGCTACCATGTGGGTGCTGGGAACTGAACCCAGGTCCTCTGGAAGACAGCCAGTGCTCTTAACTGCTGAGCCATCTCTCCAGCCCTAATTTTTTCTTGCTGAGCCTGCTATCATCTTGTGGGGTAGGACACATCGATCCAATGGAGCAGATATGGACAAATGGAGCCTTGGAGTTGGAGTTCACTTGTCCAAGTGGCTGAAGGCCCTTCGTCCTTCCCCCAACACACACACGAAGTTGCCTTCTCTCTGTCCCTTGGCCTGGCTCTGAGTCCTGTTGGGCCATTCTGTCTCCAGAACCCCATGGAGACCTAACCTCTGTCCTTGGGTCTCTCTGTGTTGTGTCATTGTGAGAGGACACCTTGGAGGGGACCCAACTGGGTAAAAGTCCAGTCCTTACTGTGTGATCAGAGGGTCACTTTACCTTTCTGGGTCTGTTTTCTTACCTGTGGTGCAGGGCTGGGAGCTGATATGGTTTTAGGATCTGGAGCTGGGGGAGTTTAGGCCCTAGCTTGGCCTTTGCCTCGTCCATCTCCGCAGGACATTGCTGGACAAGTGGTTTGTAGAGGTGCTGAGACTTCACTGCAGGGCCTGGGGGAAGGATGGCCAACTAAGGCCTTGGTGCCCAGAGGTGCGCACTCTAAATCCAGGGATGGCACTGAGGAGTCCCGCCTTGGCTCTGGCCGGGCCTGACATAGGACACTTGGACGAAAGGGCTTCCAGAGCTGTCCTGGGGACCAGAGCCCAGAGAGGTACCCACGCAGTTAATAGTTGTGCTACGGGGAAGGTGGTGGCTGGAGGTATTGAAGATGCCGTCCTGCTCCAGTGCCTGCTTGAGTTGAAGCTGCACCAGAGAAAACACAGGATTCAAAGTCTCGACTGAGTGGCCCCGGGCAGACTGCTTCCATTCCTCGTCTGTTCCACGTGGACAGGAAGTGTAAGCTTGCCTGATGCTCATGCAGTCAACACCACTGGATAGCCGCTCTACCTGGGCCCGTGCTGGAGAGCGGCCACTGAGAGGGTTTCCTGGAGCACAATGCCTAGGTGGTGGCTTGGACTTGAGAGGGAACAGGAGTTTGACGACATCGGCAGCATTCTGCAGACACAGAGACAGGGAGACAAGACAGGACACTGGGAAAGGTGCCCTGGTTGAGAACGGGGACTAGCAAGGGGTTAGAGAGGCAGGCCAGGCCTCTGGCCATCTGGAGTAGGTGCCTCATGGTACCAGAGTTTTGCTGTGAGGAGAGGCTGCTGCGGCTGCATCTGTCTGGGCAATGGTGCTGGGTCTGAACTGCAGCAGGGGCTGTGGGTGGTGCAGCATGGGGTCATCCGGAAAGATCAAGGGATGACAAAGTGCACTGTGATTTGCCCAGTGGTCCTGACAGTGGGTGGTCTGCCTCTGGCTATGTCCCTGTTGGGGGTAGGGGAGCCCTCAGCTCCTAGGCTGACTTAGTGCCCTCCACACCCAGTTCCCCAGGCTCCAGCTTTTAAACTTTAACGAGCCTCAGCTCAGTTTCCAGGCGAGAGTGTTTAAAGTTTCAGGAGACGAGAGAAAGGAGCGAGCCCTGGAGACAGCTGGGTCCTCTCCTCCCTTGTGTGCCTCCACACTGGGCTGGACCACCTGGAGCCAGAGCCCTGGGAACCCTGGCCCTAGAGGTTCTCTGTGGAGGTCTGGGACCTAGGCTGGGCCCCTCTAGAGTATTCCCACAGGCCTGGGTGCCAGGTTGCCAACCAGCACAGATGGGAATAGAACCCGATCACCTTGGACTGCAGGTGCAGGGACAGCTCAGCCTAGGTGTCGGGTTGTCGGTACCCCCAGTCCTCTCTTCCTCATGCCCTCTCCCAGTGTTCCGTGTGAGGTGGATGCTGCAGGCCCCTGTAGAGATTAAAAAACACGGGAATGAAAAGCTCCTTCCAAATACACTCTTGTCACCTGCCAGTGACTCCGGGCAGCTGGCGCTGTTCTCTGGGGCGTTGTTCTATTTATTTATCTTTTACATTTTATATGTGTATTGTGCACATATGCATACACACGCGTATGTCAAGGCAAGGGATGCAGAGGACAACTTGCTGACGTTGGTTCTCTGCTGCCATCATGCAGGTCCCAGAGGCTGAACTCCGGTCCTCAGTCTTGGTGGCCTCACTGCCCATCTCTGGACATCACATACTTTTTAGCCTTCTGCCTTTCAGCCTGGGCTCCCAGACGACAAGCACATGCCGCATCTCTAGAATCTTTCTGTCCCGGGGCAGGCATCCCAAAAGTCCACACATTTAAGGAGTGTATGCTCTATGCCAAGTATTATGTTATGTGGGAATTTGGCATCAAATCACACTTTTTATACCCTGTTGTTATGAGGATCATACCCTGACAGGGAGCCAAGCAAAACAGAAGCAAACAGCTGAAGACGATACCAGAGGGCGGCTCTGTTCTGAGCACAGGGTAAGGTGGCGGGGGTGGAGGATTCTACGTCTGGGCTTCTGTGTGTGGAACTGGATTGTGGGTGGCTGTGTGTGACACAGCCTTCAGACGAATGAGCTCCCCACAAGCAGGTACAAGGTTCCCCAGTCCCAAGCAGGCACCTGAGAAGTTTGGGTCACTCCACACTGAATGCATGTGTGTGCCAAGTGTGAGACTGTGTGTATTTCTGTGTCTGGCATTACTCTTTGTGTGAGTCACACCCCCTCACTGCAGGAACAGAGTTGTCTCTGATCCAATTATGTCTGCTCAGCTGTCTCCTGGCAGCTCTTGCCCCCTGGTGCAGCTCTGGCTCTGCCATGGCTTTCCCTTCCTGCTTTTTCTTTGTCTGCCTCTGGCCTCGCTCTGGGTCTCGGGGCCTCCCTTTTTTTAGCCCTGTCTCTGTTCTTTTCTCCCCGCCTCGTAGCTGCCTGGGTCACTGATAACTCTACTTGCCTCTTTTCCTTTCTATTTTTTTTCTTTCCTGGTCTCAGTTGTTTATTCATCTAGCAAACTCCTTTTGCTATCTGCCTGCTCTGCCAAACTATTGTGTTGGGGTTATAGAGGGAGATGAGACCTGTGCCCTCCTCTCCAGAGACTCCAGGCCTGGTGGAGGAGACAGGAAAGCCTTCAAAGAGTGCTGGGGCAGAGCCTTGGGCTGAGACCAGTGACTGGGGAAGAGGCAAGGGGATGAAGCAGTGCTTCAGCAGGGAGCATGCCTAGGCCCAGCCAGCTCTGGATTCCCAGATGGGGCATACTGAGGTTGAGAAGCAGGGAGGCAGGACAGTTGGATTTGACCCTGAGGCTCTCAAGCTTGGCAGTGCCGTTGTCAGTTCCAGGGTTTAGAAAACTCCCTGGCTTCAGGGGACCAGTTGACTTGGAAACCTGGAGACGTGAAAGAGGATACGGCTACAGAGGCCAAGCGGAGATGGTGGGGCCTTGCCAGGAAGGCTGTGGTACAGCAGAGCTAGGAAAAGGAGAGGAAGCAATTAGTCTGAAGCCAAACTCGGGTTCCAGACACTGAAGGGAAACAGGTACTTTGGACAGCAGCTAATCAGCTAGCACTGGACATGGGGAGCCCAGTGGCCTGGGGCCTGGCTGGGGCTTGATGCCCAGAAGGCTACTGAGGGAGCACCTGGTGCTTGCTAGGTCTTTAGTTAGGGACATCGTCCATGGTGGTCCCTGATAGCCAGGGGAGTGTTTGTCTCCGTGTCTAACAGTAGCCCTGGTCCTGTCCTGTCTCACTTTACTGGGCTCCTCCTCCTTCATTTGTTTCCCCCTGGTCTCACCCTGCTTTGGAAAGCCAGAGGGGCAGAACAGGAGGTTCTCTGCAGCCTTCATCACTGCTCGGAGCTGGGCCTGTTGCTGAAGCTGAGGCGGGGATGTCCAGGGAAGCTGCTGGAGACCCGTGGGGAGGGAGGGCACCAGGCAGAACAGGGATGAGTCACCCAGCCCTGGATGGAGAGCAGCAAGGAAGGGCCTGGGTGGGCCCTGCAGGCAGCTCTGTTACCAGAACGGCAGGACGCCCCTCCGCCACCTGTCTTGGGGGTAGTGAAAGTTGAGTTGCAGGTAGTTGCTGCCAGACCCCTTTACTTTAGAGGAGAAGGATATGGGGACCAATGGCCATTTTCCAGGTGTGAATACTGAGCTGGAAGAGGGGATCAGAGACTTTGTATCTCTGTCAGCATGTGTGTTATTCTCCAAGCAAAGCCTGCCCCAAGATTCTCTCCCCATTCCACCCATACCCCATAAGCCCTAGCCTCAGGCATGGACAGTCCTCATCTGGCTAAGTGCTGGCCTTTCTCGCATTCCTTGGTTCCTGCAGACCAGGTTCAGGGGTGGACTCCAAGCCACCATTCACTAAGGGACACTGACTTTCCATAGAGCGGGCAGAGAACCCGGCACAGCGGGCACTCCATTAACAGTTTCTGAATGGATGGATGAATGAACAGGCTGAGTACCCACGGGACAGCTCCATTTCCTACCTTAGCCTCGTTCACTCAGAGGGACTCAGGTTACCTCGGGCAGCCGCGTGTGCCTTCTCCTCCCCTAGGCCAGCCGTTTCTGGTTCCAAGTTTGCACCCACCTCTGCCAAGAGTTTCTTCCCCTTTCACCTGAGTACCATCTGCCTGCCTGGCTTTCTTTTAGGGTTTAGCTTTGCCGTGTTTTCCTTTGCCTGTAGTTCCTCTTTCTTCTGTCTCTGCCGTGACCCTTCAGGATCATCATTACCTGTTCCTGCGCTGACCCGAGAGTGGGAAGCCCTTCTGGTTCCTATTCCTAACACAGAGTCAGTCTCTATGGCGGACAGTGGCATGGAAGCTTTCCAGATAACCTAGGTATCAGCCCACGGGCCTCAGCCCGTGAGCCTCGGCTTCCAGGTCCAGGGGACAAGGTCTTAGAGGTTCTGATGGAACTTCTTCTTTCTTTTCTCCCCTCCTCCCCCAGGAGAATCATGATTCATAAGGCTAGAAAGGGCAGTTGGGGCCAGGCTCCTGGGGGAATTTAAATCCAGGCTGAAGAAGCAGTTGGTATATAATAGGGCAACAAATAAAGTTTCTTTAAACAACAATTCTATTGCCAGCCTGTGATGGTGCACACCTTTAATTCCAGCACTTGGGAGACGGAGGCAGATGGATCTCTTGAGTTTGAGGCCAGCCTGGTCTACAGAGCTAGTTCCAGGACAGCCAGGGCTACACAGAGAAATCCTGTCTCAAAAAACAAAACAAAAGAGGCATGTGCCCCCTGGGAGATGTGCCCCACCAACTACCACCTTGGCCTGGACAGAACTTCTAGTTAGGACACTAAAGTGTTTATTTTTTTTTGTTAGGTCTCACTGTAGGCAAGCTGTCATCAAACTAATTTATTCTACTGCTTTAGCTTCCTATGAACTAGGATTACAAATATGCAAAATGAAATGGTGTTTTTATATTTCATAAATATTATTGCAATAGTAAGAAGAATCCAAAAATTATAACCTAGAGAAGAGGCATATCTCCAAAGTTGCAATTATTAGGGATGCTGAGGCAGGAGGATCATTTATACTCGAGTTTGAGGCCAGTCTGGGTAAATGGCAAGAACCTTGTGGGGGCCGGCCCGGTGTGTAGCTTTTCGGCACTTGGTGGAGTGCTTGCCTGGCCTGTGCAAGCATGGCGCTCTGCATTCTTCTCTCAGCGCTGCATGGACTGGATGCAGCGGCACACGGCTGTGGTCTCTGCCCTTGGGAGGCACAGATAGGTTAAGAAATTTGAGATGATCTTTGGCTATGGAGCAAGTCCAAGGCCAGCCTGGTCTACATGAGACTATTTCAAGAAATTTTTTTTGTTGTTGTTTTGAAAAAGAAACACCGTCCACCCCAATCCCTGGTTTCCTGAGGGGACATCCCTAGCACTCCTTCCAGCTCTTTTTCAAAGGCGTAGGTAATCTGTGAACATAGTAGAGACCACACACAGGGTTCCGTTTTGTCTGTTCACATCTGCATTGGCGGAGTTGCTCGTATCACTAGAGTTATTAATGCATGAACATCCTGGCAGCTGCTTTCTGCTAGGCCTGTTCTTGGCTCTGAGGGCTGCAGAACTGTCTGTGAGGCTGCCCCTGAACCTGGGTGCAGGGAGGAAGGGGATGGCCAACACGGCCCTTGGTGGCTGGTAGTCGTCAGGGTGGTGTGTCATTCTGAACTGGAATGGGCTTGCTTAGGCTGTTCTCAAATATAATTTTCTAATTACAAATGCAATAGTATACTCATGAATATTGTAACAGAACTTGTATTTTTTCCCAAGTACTGGGGGTTGAACCCAGGCCCTCGTGCAGGCTAGGCAAACACTGCCTCTGCCCTACATCCTCAGTTCGTTGTGTGTGCACAGGTGCACCTGTATGTGTGTGTAAGCACATGTATGTGTCAGAGACCAGAGATACCATTTACCATGCCTTTTTCTTCTCCTCCTCTTTCTTCCTCTTCTTCCTCCTCCTCCTCCTTTTCTTCTTTTGTTGCTCTCGTGTCTTTGATTGGCCTGGAACTTGACAAGTACACTAGCCCGGCCTGTGAGCATCAGGAATCCAGTTGTCTATTTCTTGTAGTGCTAAGATTACAAGTGTGAGCTACTGCCTTAAAAAAATCATTATTAAATTTTATGTGTATTGGTGTTTGTCTGCACGAATATCTGTATAACGTGTGCCAGAAGGCCAGAAGAGGCATCAGATCCCCTGGGACTAGTGTCGCAGGTGGTTGTGAACCTCCAGATGTGTGGTAGGAACTGAACCTAGAAGAGCAAGTACTCTTAACTGCTGAGCCAGCTCTCCAGCACGCTCCCTCCACCCTAGGCACGCTCCTCCCTCCCCCAGCAACCTCCACTTCCATTTTTAACGTGAGTTCCCAAGGTCCTGATTCTTGAAAATCAAGTATTTTGCCATCTGACCTCTATCTCCAGTCTTAGCGTGTGTGTGCATGGGGCCTGTGCCCTCCCCTGGGAGTGTGTGCATGTGTGGAGGTCGGAGGTGGGTAGCGGGTATCTTCCTCTTTGGCACTCTTAGTTTTTGAGACAGGGTCTCTCACTGAACCCGTGCTTGCTTTTTCAGCTGGGCTGGCCGGCCAGCGAGCCGCTGGGGGGATCCAGCTGTTTTCGCCGTGCAGTCTGAGGTTGTGGTGGCTTTGGCGTGGGTGCCGAAGGTCTGATCCCAGGCTTCCACTTGCGAGGCAGCTGCTTTCCTGCTGAGCTGTCTCTAGCCCTTTCCTTAGCCTTTTTTTTTTTTTTTAATTTTTATTTTGAGGCAGGGTCTCATTAAGTTGTCTAGGCTGGCCTTGAACTTCAAATCTTCCTGCCTTAGCATCTCAAGTACCTGAGGTTTCACAGCTGCGCCAACCAGCCTGGCTGCCAGATTGTTAGTTGTTCTTGTCACTGTGTGAGATTCTTGTCCTTAGGTGGGAGGCTGCCGAGGACCTGACCCAAGGCCTTGTGCTCATCCAGTCACTAAACTACTGGAACCCCAGTAACACTGTAGTACGTCCTTATGAGAACCCCAGTAACACTGTAGTACGTCCTTATGAGAACCCCAGTAACACTGTAGTACGTCCTTATAAGAACCCCAGTAACACTGTAGTACGTCCTTATAAGAACCCCAGTAACACTGTAGTACGTCCTTATAAGAACCCCAGTAACACTGTAGTACGTCCTTATAAGAACCCCAGTAACACTGTAGTACGTCCTTATAAGAACCCCAGTAACACTGTAGTACGTCCTTATAAGAACCCCAGTAACACTGTAGTACGTCCTTATAAGAACCCCAGTAACACTGTAGTACGTCCTTATAAGAACCCCAGTAACACTGTAGTACGTCCTTATAAGAACCCCAGTAACACTGTAGTACGTCCTTATAAGAACCCCAGTAACACTGTAGTACGTCCTTATAAGAACCCCAGTAACACTGTAGTACGTCCTTATAAGAACCCCAGTAACACTGTAGTACGTCCTTATAAGAACCCCAGTAACACTGTAGTACGTCCTTATAAGAACCCCAGTAACACTGTAGTACGTCCTTATAAGAACCCCAGTAACACTGTAGTACGTCCTTATAAGAACCCCAGTAACACTGTAGTACGTCCTTATAAGAACCCCAGTAACACTGTAGTACGTCCTTATAAGAACCCCAGTAACACTGTAGTACGTCCTTATAAGAACCCCAGTAACACTGTAGTACGTCCTTATAAGAACCCCAGTAACACTGTAGTACGTCCTTATAAGAACCCCAGTAACACTGTAGTACGTCCTTATAAGAACCCCAGTAACACTGTAGTACGTCCTTATAAGAACCCCAGTAACACTGTAGTACGTCCTTATAAGAACCCCAGTAACACTGTAGTACGTCCTTATAAGAACCCCAGTAACACTGTAGTACGTCCTTATAAGAACCCCAGTAACACTGTAGTACGTCCTTATAAGAACCCCAGTAACACTGTAGTACGTCCTTATAAGAACCCCAGTAACACTGTAGTACGTCCTTATAAGAACCCCAGTAACACTGTAGTACGTCCTTATAAGAACCCCAGTAACACTGTAGTACGTCCTTATAAGAACCCCAGTAACACTGTAGTACGTCCTTATAAGAACCCCAGTAACACTGTAGTACGTCCTTATAAGAACCCCAGTAACACTGTAGTACGTCCTTATAAGAACCCCAGTAACACTGTAGTACGTCCTTATAAGAACCCCAGTAACACTGTAGTACGTCCTTATAAGAACCCCAGTAACACTGTAGTACGTCCTTATAAGAACCCCAGTAACACTGTAGTACGTCCTTATAAGAACCCCAGTAACACTGTAGTACGTCCTTATAAGAACCCCAGTAACACTGTAGTACGTCCTTATAAGAACCCCAGTAACACTGTAGTACGTCCTTATAAGAACCCCAGTAACACTGTAGTACGTCCTTATAAGAACCCCAGTAACACTGTAGTACGTCCTTATAAGAACCCCAGTAACACTGTAGTACGTCCTTATAAGAACCCCAGTAACACTGTAGTACGTCCTTATAAGAACCCCAGTAACACTGTAGTACGTCCTTATAAGAACCCCAGTAACACTGTAGTACGTCCTTATAAGAACCCCAGTAACACTGTAGTACGTCCTTATAAGAACCCCAGTAACACTGTAGTACGTCCTTATAAGAACCCCAGTAACACTGTAGTACGTCCTTATAAGAACCCCAGTAACACTGTAGTACGTCCTTATAAGAACCCCAGTAACACTGTAGTACGTCCTTATAAGAACCCCAGTAACACTGTAGTACGTCCTTATAAGAACCCCAGTAACACTGTAGTACGTCCTTATAAGAACCCCAGTAACACTGTAGTACGTCCTTATAAGAACCCCAGTAACACTGTAGTACGTCCTTATAAGAACCCCAGTAACACTGTAGTACGTCCTTATGAGAACCCCAGTAACACTGTAGTACGTCCTTATAAGAACCCCAGTAACACTGTAGTACGTCCTTATAAGAACCCCAGTAACACTGTAGTACGTCCTTATAAGAACCCCAGTAACACTGTAGTACGTCCTTATAAGAACCCCAGTAACACTGTAGTACGTCCTTATGAGAACCCCAGTAACACTGTAGTACGTCCTTATGAGAACCCCAGTAACACTGTTAGTACGTCCTTATGAGAACCCCAGTAACACTGTAGTACGTCCTTATGAGAACCCCAGTAACACTGTAGTACGTCCTTATAAGAACCCCAGTAACACTGTAGTACATCCTTATAAGAACCCCAGTAACACTGTAGTACGTCCTTATGAGAACCCCAGTAACACTGTAGTACGTCCTTATAAGAACCCCAGTAACACTGTAGTACGTCCTTATAAGGACTGGATAGTTCCTACATTAGGGAGTAGATTCCTGTGTTAGTTTATAGGTATAAATATTTTTCAGATTATTATTGTCATTATTATTATGTTGTGTTTTAGAGACAGTTTCTCTGTTCATGGCTGTCCCGGAACTCACTTTGTTGACCAGGCTGGCCTCTAACCCAGAGATCTGCCTGCCTCTGCCTTCAGAGTGCTGGGATTAAAGGTGTGCGCCACCATCAGGCCAGATTATTACTCTTTTGTTTGTTTGTTTTGGTTTATCGAGACAGGATTTCTCTATGCTTTGGGGCCTGTCCTGGAACTAGCTCTTGTAGTTAGTAGACTAGGCTGGAAAAGCGAGCCACAATGAGGAATCTGTCAGCTGTTCCTCCCTTGCCAGCACACCCTCCAGAATGGCCTAAGTACTGCACCATACGTCCCTTAGCCAGCACCTTCCACTGCCTGCGTGCTTCCCACAATCAGCAGCCTGTGAACTCTGGTTCTTCGCTCCGGTACTGGTACTGTGTGGCCTTGGTCCATCGGTGTACTTCTCTGGGCCTTTTTAACATCTGTAAGATGGTGATTGCTGACTCAGGCTTTGGGAGATTATGGGGTGATATGTATGAAGGACAAGAAACCGTGACCTCAACATCTGCTAAATTTGAGCTTCTCCAGAGTCCACGTATAGGTGTGTCTGTCTGTCTGGTTAGTGAGCGCTGTCTGTGAGTCAGCATCTGGTGGTGTTTGCTGAGTTGGTGGCTACTGTCAGGGCTGTGAATGACTTGGGCCTTAGCTGGGGAGTCTTCCTTTGATTTGAACCTGGCTCTGTGGGAAGTGTCGCTCAGATGTTTTGTGTTGAGAAGTTAGTGGGGTCTTCCCTCACCTTTTTCAGGGCCTCAGTTTCCCCAGTGGTGGTTGTCAGAGTCGTGGTCAGAGGCATAGTCTGTTTCCCAAGGGCAGGACTCTGGGGACCACTGTTTGAAGTCTACATGGGCTTGCTATGTATCTGTGCCCTTTTACTAACCATTGTCCTGGTCACTGGTTGTTCAGAGCAGGGCAGAGCCTCTTGGAGGTGACTGTTGCCCTCCCTCAGTGTGGAGCCTGTGGCTCCGATGCTGAGTGCTGGGACCAGGGAGCCCCTTTAGAGTCCTGAAAGAGGTGAGGGTAGCCTGAGACACAGCCTGTGGTCTCCTGCCTGACATGACACTCTCTGCCCACCCCCCAGCCTCGCTCCTAACCCTTGCTTGCTCTGTACTGTGAGTTTTCATCCTGGCATCTTTTACTCTTTTACTCTGCTTAGGGGCTCCTCTTTGGGAACTGGCCTTAGGCCTAGATTGTCTCTGATTGGTTACTCACTCTCTGCGTTGATTCTAACAGGCCAGGCGCCCTTAAGGTTCAGGAAGCTGCACAGGAGGCTGGAAGGGCAAGGACCAGGGTAAAGCAAAGGATCTGCCAAGCCACAGACTACGAGGATGTGCAGGCGGAGGTGGTCTTCTGGCGTGGAGCCCTGCTGGGTGGGAACAGCGACTTTACAGATGTTCACTGCATGCTAATTAGATTTCATACCCTAACCCATCCAGTCACAATATCCCTAGGAGATAGATATTATTACTGTCCTTAGTTTTTATGTGAGGAAGCTGAGGCTCACGTGTTAAGTCTTGTGCCTGGAGGAAGAGCTGGGATTAGATGGTAAATTGTCTGCCACAGAGCATTCCTGCCTGTCCCCTGGCAGTCTTCCTTGCTTATCCAGTGGCTTCTGCTGTGGCTGTATGGGTTTGGGGTACTCACCCAGTCATGGGGATCCCCACATCAAGAAGATTTGGAGAGAGTGCTAGGACACTGCTTGTAGCTTTTCTGGTGATACTTGGTCCTCCTGGGACTCACTTGTGACATGGCAGCTGTCACACACTGCTGTATCCAGACTTTGAAAGCTTTGCAGCCCAGCAGGGCTCCTAGGGGAGTTAAGATTTGCAGGTGAGGGGCCTGGGACCCAGCACACACGGTGGCACTGCCATTTGGGTTGGTATGGAAAAACGCTCGGTCCTTGGCCGCAGGCCACAGATGCCCGTGGACACACCCTACCTGGCTGCTCGTCCTGCCTCAGGCTCACCCCTCTCAGCAGCAGCCTTCCCAGCAGACTCCATGCCGCTTTCCTCCATGAGCCTCTGCAGTTGCTTTCTCTGTCTTAAAGGGCCATACCATGTCTGTGACAGCGTGGTCCCGGAGCGTGTTTTGGGGCGCTCTGTTCTGTGATGGTGTGGTCCCAGAGTGTGTTTTGGGGTGCTCTGTTCTGTGATGGCGTAGTCCCGGAGCGTGTTTTGGGGTGCTCTGTTCTGTGATGGCATGGTCCTGGAGCATGTTTTGGGGTGCTCTGTTCTGTGATGGCGTGGTCCCAGAGTGTGTTTTGGGGTGCTCTGTTCTGTGATGGTGTGGTCCCAGAGTGTGTTTTGGGGTGCTCTGTTCTGTGATGGCGTGGTCCCAGAGTGTGTTTTGGGGTGCTCTAGAGCCATAACAGCTCTGATCTCAGAGTCTGGCAGGAGGATGGTGTTTTCCATGCAGTGTTGGTCTTTTCCATCTGGATCTGGGTGCTGCAGGGTCAGGGAGTAAAGGAGGGTAAACCTGGCCCCAGGAAAAGCATAGTACTGGGTTGGACTCCTACATTTGAAGCTGAGATGTGTGCCCATCCTCATTCTCCAGTGTGACATGTTTGAGAGCTTGCAAGGCCAAGCCCGATTTCAAACTTGATTTAGAAAAGTTCTGGTTAAGAAATAGGAGGAGGGAGGGGTCTATTGAGATAGCTCAGCAGGTGACAC